GAATAGGGTAGTCCAGGAGCCTGACAGGAAAATAAATAAATAAATAAATAAATAAATAAATAAATAAATAAATAAATAAATAAGCACAAGGTGAAAAATACATTTTATCTGAATTAGATTATAAGAAAGTTTGTTACCACTTTACAATAAGGCTCCCCTTATAGATTGCTTATAAATAGTTTATAGATCGGTTATTGATTAATCTGTAAACACTTTATAAATTGTTAATAAATGTTTATTATGGATTAATTACAAACGGGAAAGAGACAAAACTGTCTTGCCAAATAGTGAGCTAAATCTCTGTGTACAAATTACTAGGTTTTTAAGCACAAATATGCGTTGGAAACACATATTAAAAAAATTATATTGTACTACATTACTGAATTATACATATTAACAACTGTCAAAGGGAGCATTATTGTAAACTGTAAGACAGTAGGTACACTATTTATTAATGACTAATAAACTTGTATAAATGCCATAAAGGAGCTTTATTGTAAAGTGAAAAACAGTACACTATAAGGCTCTATTATGACATTTTTAGACATTAATAAATAATATACTGTTTTAAACTTTATGATAAGACTCCCTTTGATTACTATGGATATGCATAATGCGGTAATACAGTACAATATTATATGTAAAATATGTGTTTTTAATAAATTATTGTGCTTACAAGGTAGTAACCTATCTGAAATGTTTAATAAAGCACCTTTAGATGTGATATATACATGAACAGATTTGGCTCACTATTTGGCAAGAAACAGGACAATTTTGTCTCTTTTCCTTCCTTAATTAATGAATAATAAACACTTATTAACAATTTATAAAGTGTCTACAGGGGGAGCCTTATTGTAAAGTGGTAACGTAAGTTCTAATCTGAAGGCAGACAAAAAAAACTGAACAAAAAAGTTACTTTTTTCCTCCTCTTACCTGGATAATACTTAACTTTTCCAGTGGACTCTCCACACGGGGCAGGGTGAGGAGAGGCAACCCAATGGGGGGCTCGGGACGCAGTGGAGGTGGGGGAATGGGAATTTCTATCTTAGATGGCTTRAAGTTGTTGATCACACACGACACCTACAGGAGAGCAGGCAGAAAGGGACACAATCTGTAACCTCATCAGCTCACACTCAGCAGTCAGCCAATAAATTAGTCTCAGTGATCAATATGTTGTGAAATATGGAGGACCGAAACTTACATAATTAGAAATAAAAGCAGAAATACATAAATGGACAAATAAATACATACATACATACACTTAAAATGGACCAATTAAATTAAAAAGGATAATTTTACCTCATGTTTTATAATTTAATTGGCTTTCATATTTATTTTTCTATCTTACTTCCAAAAAATTGGTAAAAGTTAGCACATAATTCACATTTGACTGTTTAAAAAAATGATATATATATATATATATATTGTTTTTCCTTTTACTTGTAGAAGCATTTATGATTATATTTAATTATTCTTTATAACTTTCCCACACGTCTTTTTATTTCCACATGTTGCATTTACATTTCTCTGTCTCCTGTATTTACATTTCCTTGTGCATTTCTGCCTCTTTATGCAAATAAGTTGGGCAGGCCTGCAGAAATAATGCGCTGTTCAAAAATGGCATGTCTAAATAAAAGCAGGAATCCACTTGGATTTCTTAAAACTTTATTCCTAATCTGCTCCAATCAGTTTCACAGTTCACAGCACAGACCTCAGCGTGAGGCCTTGAGCTAAAACCTAAACAAAACAGCTCAGTCTGTCCAGACTGGATATAAACAGAGACTTTGCAAAACACCAACCCTTCAGAAAACACTTATTTTCTCCGTATATCATAATAATTCAACCTTATAACCTCTTCAGACTCTTCCCGGTTACACCCCTGCAGGTGGTAACTTTTACGTCAGACGTCAGAACATAACTCATTTTTGTTTAGAGTAGAGAGAGAACACATGATAACACACCAACTCTCTCTCTTTTAGACTTACGACTGCAATGATCAGAAAGTGTAAAAATTCAAAACTGCATCTTACATTTAGTTCATCATTTCAAAAATTTCCTTCATGCCTTCTTGGGTCATCTCCTCTCCTATTGGTCAACAGACAGGAAGGAGCAGGATCCATGTGCAGATCTACTGTGCATGCTTGTGCTGCCTCAGTTTAGCTTCAAGTTTGGAAAGTTTACAAAGGCACAGGTAAGTGTTTTAAGGTAAGTGTTTTCCACCTTGCCTTTGTTTTACACAAATGTACTTACAAGTAAAAGGAAAAACAAACATATACATTTTAAAAACAGTAAAATGTAAATTATGCGCTAAAATATATAATTTATTAAAACTAAGCAGGAAAAAAATATCAAGGTCAATTAAATTCTAAAACATGAGGTAAAGTTCTCCTTTTCAAATTTAATTGGTGCATTTTAAGTGTATTTATTTATTTATTTATTGGTCCCTTATTTCTGATTTTATTTCTAATTATGTCAGTTTTGGTCCTCCATAGTAAAAACAATTATTTCCAGATTCAATAAAAGTGGAGACATTTTTTCCACTCTGACCCTCGGTTTTTGTTTGTTTGTTTTAATTTTGCAGCAACTATCTAAGGTAAAAAATACATACTTAAAGCATGTTTATTTTTTTTCTTGCATCAGTAAATAACGATGCAATCAGCAGTAAAGTGCCAGCCCTAAACCAGAGTAATTTCCTCAGTGTGATTCCTAATCATAAATAGACTTCACGTCCACAAATACCTTCGCAGTATGACCAGCTGCAGACATTACGGCACTGCATCACCTTATTAAACCCTGACAGGGAGGGGGGTTTCGCTACCAAATCACAGTGTAACCAAGAAGTAAATGATGTGTAGAAATGTGCTTATTATTTAAATTTAGTGACACATACACAGCCATTGTAACCTCCATGAAAGTGCATTAAAGAGCAACATTATTCCCCAAATCCCCCCCAGAGAGCAGCCATTTCCAGCTCATGAGATCCAATAAGCCCCCAGAGTTGAGCCGAGTGGATGTGCAGATTGAAATCTCAAGCATCCTTCCCCTCTTTTCTCCTCTCACCAGGAATGCAGCGATGGCCCCTCCCGTGACGAATCCAGCCACCACGTCGTTCCAGTGGTTCCTGTGCTCCGTCACTCTCACGACCCCCACCAGCACAGCCAGGGACAGCAAAACCAGGCACAGAGTGGGCTTCATCAGACGGGTCCCTTTGGTCCGGAAGATCAAGGTCACGTACATCTGAAAGACAGAAGCAMRTGTGGAAAACTGTGAGATCAAAATCTTATGTGATGTGTTCGGATTGAGGTGAAGCAAGTGTTGAATTCAGGCAGAGATCACAGTAACTGTGCAGCAGGCTTAACTGGATTATTAGCATCCATATCTTGATCAGGCCACAAGAGGCCGCACTCTGCAATCATTTCACTGCAGCTTTCATATACTGTAAGATCATATTCTCATTTCTAAACAAATCACAGGAAAAACTGACACTTTTTGGAAACAAAACGGCTTTCAAGCAATAACTGTTCATGTGTTGTTTTTAACCAAAGGGGGGAAAAACATTTTTACTAGAACCATCATTTACCTAAAGTAATTTCCTTCTCTTTGACCTTCTCAGTCGGTCATATTGTTTTGGAAAAATTTTGATCCATCCTTTTATGTTTAAATTCTTTCATATCTATGGAGCAGTAATAAATATCCTTCAGAAAGATTTACTTAAATCCTAATTGCCACTAATGTTTGAGTTTTGCATCGACATGGAAGACCAGCATGATCAACATTTTTGTATTTTATGTCAGTTTTTACGTCATGTACCACTGTGTAGATGGCTGAGTAGAAGCTGAGCGCCGCATCTTTGGAGGGGAAAGACTTGCGGGCGGACATCACCAGGAATGGGTTTCCCATACAGGCTCGTTGCTCGGTGACATATTGCAGTGGAGACTGGCAGCCCAGAGCTGTGTAGTTTGGCTTACAGGCAGACAGGAAGTGAGGCGTCTGGTTTCCTGTCACCACTTGACCGGCGTTGGCAAAGATGGTGGTAGTGAAGAGACCGAAGGAATAGACACCTGAATTGGAAAAAAAAGAGGGAGAGAAAAAATGAAGTGGTGTTAATAAAAGGAAAGTTGGGTCATTTTTGAAGTGATGAAGCAAACTGATTGTTTGCTCGTCAATCTCATGAGTTTCTTCAAAATGGTAGGTATTACCTACTATTTGTAGGTACAAATAGGTTATTCAAAAAGCTTTCCAAAACTAGCTAAAATTATTCACCTTTCCTCAGAATCCCRCTGCTACAGATCTGAACTATCTCTTTAATGAGTCTTGAATGGTAGAGTTTCTATAGAACATCTGGAGTGTGCAGAAACCATGTGACCGTGTGATCGGCTGGAGAAGCTAACGGCTAACACAGAA